ACCACTTCAATTACCTACTGAATGTCGAAAACGAACAAAATTAGAATGCTCACCTGAATATACATGAAATTAAGCAGCTTTTTCACTTCAGGAGCTAATACTTCAGCAGTCTTTTCATAGATTTCCACCCAGTTCGGCTGCTCATTGGACTTCTGTTGCGGGATGGCTCGAGAGCAACATCGCCACGTTTACAGCATGACCGCATGTTTCAAGCCATCTTCCAACAGTTCCTTCTAGAACATTACAAATAGATATTGTACAGGATTGGTAGATTGACAACTTTAAATTCACAACATGGCAAAGCTCTGAATTTTTAAAACGACCAAAACCAGTGTCGATCAAATTTCAATGAAAAAACCTATTGACTGTTTTCAGTGCATATATTATAAAGGTTCAAAAATGAATACATTTACATTTAAAGGTCAATCTGTGNGTTCGGCTGCTCATTGGACTTCTGTTGCGGGATGGCTCGAGAGCAACATCGCCACATGTACAGCATGACCGCATGTTTCAAGCCATCTTCCAACAGTTCCTTCTAGAACATTACAAATAGATATTTTACAGGATTGGTAGATTGACAACTTTAAATTCACAACATGGCAAAGCTCTGAATTTTTAAAACGACCAAAACCAGTGTCGATCAAATTTCAATGAAAAAACCTATTGACTGTTTTCAGTGCATATACTATAAAGGTTCAAAAATGAATACATTTACATTTAAAGGTCAATCTGTGATGGATTCTTTGGATAGTTTGAAATCTTTAAATTTAAATCAAGGTTCAAATGACCTTCCATCAACGAAATACATAATTTTCTGATTTTATTCTAAAATAGATGCCTCTACCAATTTTCAAAGTGTCTGCTTTAAGTTGAAAACACTTGCATTGAACTAACTTTTCGAATACGATGTTTCTGATCCTGCCGTAGTTCTGTAATGATTTAGGTAAGAGTGAAAGAGTCATCCGATTTAAGCATGTTATCGGAAGTTCTCGATATTATTCATTCCCTGCTAAAAACTTAGGATTTCCTCTCATTTTTCTTAAAATTATCTTGGAAAAGCCAAGGTTTTTCTAAAAATTATTGAATATCATTCATCATCCATTCAATTAAACGGATTAACAGCGGTCAAGCAGCAGGAATGTGAAGCTTCCCAAACTGGCATGAACGGTGGCTTCTTCAATGTGCTCTGCTATGCCAGTGATGAAACCATTTCGGTCTTCGAAGTTGGTATCGAAGTTAGCTTGATAAATGACAGAGCATGGCTGAGCTTTGATACTCAGTTGTTGATTATGTAACGTAAGCTCATCTAAGGCGTCAACATTGCATAAGGCATCAGTTTATGTTAATGTAACCTTATCTGCCACCATTTTGAGAAGTTGACTCCTTTGTGCAAAAATCCATCGAGGACATAAAAATGTGACTTGGCAAGCAAGCATTGTTGTACATGGAACTAAGAGAAATGAATGGTTTTGAAAACATACCCACTCTAATTACTTAAAAACAGAGAGTACACTGTAAACCGAAAATAAATATTCTTGAGTGTTGCACGATTCAATACCAGAGAAGGTTGACGGTGGAGAGTAGATAAAATTGTTCGAATAACTTTATGCCTTCAAGAGGTAGGACTAACTTGTCAAAAGCTATCAGAAGTAATACTGCTAACTTGAGGTAGAGGTGTCATCAGCTAAGTTGGAACTTGAATACATATCGTTTGCAAGTAACTATAATGTAGTCGTCGAACAGGAATCGAGGATTGACTAAGCTCGCGATCGGGCTGCTGTCAATCGCCTATTACTGTTGGACAATTGCAGCACAATTGCTCGCAAAAGAAATGTTAACAAGTGCCAACTAAGCTGACAACCACTCTTCACTGTGCTCAGAGGTTCCTTCTTAAATCTTAGCTTCAGTCTCACACACAGGAATCGATTGTTGAAATTCTTATCAGCTTGCCCAGGCGTAGGGGATCAAGGTCTTCCTGGCGCAAAGCTCACACATTCCTTGTCTTGTCCTGGCATGCCAACAGAGTTTCAAGAACCGGTCTGCATTCATTGATTGACTAGATGAGAAAAGAGGAAATAAAGAGATGCCTCTTGGTCCACAGCAGTCTCCAAGACAAATCCAGCAACAGACAAAAAGACATGTTCCATCACAGGAGTCTGATGACAATTCTGTTATAACATCGTAATTATGGCAACTTCACTCCGTTCTCATAGAGGAATCGGTACATAGTGTAAGCTTCCGCGATTTAGTAGAAAGAGAGGCAAATGAAAGGAATACAAGAAAAACGACTGACTCCTACCTCTGTAAAGATCCACTCAGGACTTCGGTTTCTCCGCAATTCCCATGGCTTCTTCTTCATTTTCGTTGACCCTGGGGTTAAATCTTCGTCTTGAATTGATGGAATACTTCTAAATGAGCAGAGAAGATGACAGTTTTAACGGCTAGTAATTAAAGAAGTTAAAATTAATTGAGCTTGAGCGATCTGGAAGCGATCTGAAGACCGGCTGAGGCTGCGACATAGAATAATATGGCTGAGATGGCGAGGGAAATGCATGACATGACCGCCATGTTGAATTTCAAACAGCTGGACGAATATCGAATATCGAATATCGTATCGAATGCGATTGCTCGAATATCGCACTATCGATTCTTTACCATAGCTTCTTACGGGGACACAGCCATAGTCGATCGTTCACGAAGTTTGGCAAGAAATCCGCCTCAACCACTGGATCCGTTTTTCTCGCACCGGCTCACTGTGGAGGAAAGCCGCGGCTAGAATTCTTACGATCAGCGACCTTTCTCCTCATTTTACTTTTAAACTTTCAATCTTAGAGGAAAATGTCATAGGACCCGAAATAACGGCCGTAAAATTTCCTATCGGTTCATTACACAAAATTTTCGAAAAAATAATTTTCGTGACCAAAAATAAGGGTTTTAAAAAGGACGCAGGCAAAAATTCTTATGATCAGCGACCTTTCTCCTCATTTTACTTTTAAACTTTCAATTTTAGAGGAAAATGTCATAGGACCCGAAATAACGGCCGTACAATTTCCTATCGGTTCATTACACAAAATTTTCGAAAAAGTAATTTTCGTGACCAAAAATAAGGGTTTTAAAAAGGGCGCAGGCAAAAATTCTTATGATCAGCGACCTTTCTCCTCATTTTACTTTTAAACTTTCAATCTTAGAGGAAAATGTAATAGGACCCGAAATAACGGCCGTAAAATTTCCTATCGGTTCATTACACAAAATTTTCGAAAAAGTAATTTTCGTGACCAAAAATAAGGGTTTTAAAAAGGGCGCAGGCAAAAATTCTTATGATCAGCGACGTTCCTCGTTCCTCCTCATTTTACTATTAAACTTTCAATCTTAGAGGAAAATATCGAAATACTCGTTTCGAATGCGATTGTTCGATTATCACACTATCGATTCATTACCATAGCTTCTAACGGGGACGTAGCGATATTCGATCATTCACGAAATTTGGCAAGAAATTCACCTCGGCACCTGGACTCCGTTTTGCCGGCTCATACCACGGTGGAGCGAAATCCTATTAGAATCCCCGGCCCGGTCATATCGCCTTACTTCCTAACTTGTTGCGGCTGTTATATTATTCCACTCGTTCCTAAGGATTTCGTGCTAAACGAAAGGGTTCATAGGTTATTTTGATCGTAGAATTCATTTTTGACCTTACTTTTCTCGAGGAAATGACGAAAATACACAATTTCACGCGTTCTTACTAACTTTCCGTAGAAACGTAATAGTAGAAGTTACTCAAAGATAAATTTTACTCGTTCTTGTGGGCATTTGGTGTTGAAACTCGGTTTCCTGGAGGACTTCAGATCGTAGAATATATTCTTGACCTTACTTTCGTTGATTTGTTGACACAAACACATAACTCATGATCTCGAGGGTACAAGGAAAAGGTACTCACCGATAAATTGCACTCGTCCTGGTAGACATTTCGTGTTGAAACTTCGCAAACTAATGGTATATTGATCAAAAAATTCATTTATAACCAAACTTATGCCAGTGTATATGTNGGGGGGGGGGGGGGGGGGTGGCAAGCGGTCCGGATAAGCAAGGCAAGCACTGCGCTTGCCCAAATATTTCATAGGAAAGAGGAAAAGTACAACATGTATTAGTAAGTAAATTGCATTAAAAACAGAAAGAGATAGGTAGAGTTACGTATGCAGCAGCCACAAAAGTAGGAAAGCGGCGGCAGAGCGGACGGAGGTGGCGCATGGCTCAGCGAACATGGGCCAACTAGGGATGGACGAATATCGAATTCGAATGCGATTATTCGAATATTCGAAACTTTTCGAATGCGATTATTGCGAATATTTGAGAATTCGAATCTTGCGATTGCGAATAGTTCGGATGGAATATTCGAATATTTTCGATTAATGCTTTGATTTTTGATTTTTTATGAACCGTGAGAGATAAAATGACACTTTTGACACTTTTGAATGTGATTATTCGGATATTTGAATGCGATTATTCGAATATTCGAATTTTCGATTCGAATACTTCGGAAGCGAATATTCGAATGTGATGCGATTATATCGGTGCCGATGATTCGAATATCGAATATTCGAATATCTAAATATTCGACCATCCCTAGGGCCAACTCATGCTCTAAAGAATCGCTTGCGAAGGGCTGAGCGGAGCCCGGAGCGTCAGGCGCTAGACGACTTATCTGGGCGCCAGACTGCTCGGCGGCGGAATGCAGCGGAATTCGGAATCAAGGCGGGC